TTATTTTCCAGTGATACAAGATAAAAAAAAATCTACTATATACGAATGATTTGTGTAAAACCACTAACAAGTTTATATAACAAAGAGAGAAAAAGGATTTTCTTCCAGAAAAGGGAGTCCTGCACTCCACACAATATTTACTGGATACCTCACTGGTTCTTTAATCTGTTGTCGTCTTAGGAAAGAGAAGAAAAATTGGAATGTCACTGGCGAAATGAAACGATGAAGGCTTCTTATAGCTACAAAACTTGGAAAAGTTTACAAGGATACTGAAGAAGTGACTTAATTATCCCTATTTACCGCAATTCCCCCAAACCGGGACCGCTGTCACCAATGTAAAAATAATAGAAGAGAGCGAGAGAGTGATGAGCTTGACAGTACAACTAATATAATTAATAGGGTTAGTATAAGAAATCTGTTACCGTATGTGTATATTAGGGCTTCAACCACGACACGTTCAGTCTTCTGGAACTCGGTCAGTTGAGGGTTGCGAACTTTCGAGCTGCCACAATAACCGGACTACACGCGAACTCTGCCAGATGATACCCGGCCCCCGGAGAATCACCGATTGTCTCGTACTGTTCGCGTACGGGACGCTGTCGCGTCCCAGTCACGGTGGCCCGCTATTACTGACTGCCCATTACTAGCTACTCGTACCCGACGCTACCGCGTCGAGAGTACCCGGGGCGGCAATTGATGCCTGGACGCCCGCCGTCTCACTAATGACTGACTGACTACTAACTACTGACTACCCGGCGTCCGTCGTTTCTTCTTCTGTTTTATTGTGGTCGTACTTTCAACGCCGGTTCTAGTACCAAGGTCGTAGGTTCGCTGAGTTGCAGTTTTGGCGTTATGCGCCTATTTGGGTCACGGCTGTTGTTGTTAATAGTTTCGTGCTTTTTATACGTTTAAACAATTATCAAACAATGCCATAACTAGGTCAATTGTTATACTTTGTATAATTTAAATGTATAAGTTAACTGTATTAATTATCCCTTATTTAATTTGGAATATATAATAATTATCTCGAATAATTATTATCTTTTCTATGCTACTTATTATTCCATTATCCCTTTATTCCAACTTCTCACTCACTTGCTACGCTTACATTACACCACCTTCGTAGCTTTTCATATCTACACCATGGGCACTTTAGTTTATTCCTAAACTCGCATTTACGATTATGAAAACAAACTCTTATAAAATAATATTTTTATTTGAACTTTAATGACTTCATCTGATACTTAGATCTTCCATAAATAATAAATCATTTATTATTAATTTCACATCTTAAATTAATTATTTATCAAATAAACTATTAATATTTAATAAGCAACACAAAATATTCCTGAAGCCGTGTCAAACATTTAGTAGCTTTGCCACCACTTTCAGTTCGACTGAGTGCGTTGTATGACAAAGATAGGGAATGTTCGATTTGGAAAATATTACCGCGGACATAGTGTTCATTTTTTTCGAATCCTGAAAAAACTAAAACATATTTTTGAAAAATTTAAACGCAGAATGAAAGATTACATTATTACCGAGGGCCGAAAGTCCCTTAGAATAAACAAAAAGTTTTTTTTAATGAGATATATGAGATTAAAAATCACACTAAATTTTCTCTTGTTTTTCACCCTGTAACTAATTAAAAAAACATTATAGAAGTTTTCAGGGACTTTCGGCCCTCGGTAATTATGTAATCTTTCATTCTGCGTTTAAATTTTTCAAAAATATTTATTAGTTTTCTCAGGATTCGAAAAAAAATGATTTTATTTAAAAAGCATTGGCCCGAAATTTTGCGCCTACGCTCTTAAAAAGCCGGGTATGTCTGTATAGGTCTTAAGAAGATCCAATATGTCTGCGTTGTGTGGGACTGATTTTGAAGGAATTTAAAATTATTTTAGGTTTGGGTATTTGAAATGTGGGTTGTTTTTGGATGCCTTCATGCGGCGGTGTAGAATCTGACATTTGTCGTTTAATGGAAACCGTTTTCATTGATTCCGTATTCTTTCTTTTGTTCTTTGGAATTTACATTCTTCATCATTAGGCACTAGAGTGTTGGCGGCTTCTGTGCATTGGGTTGGCTAATAGATTTGGTTTCTGTTTGGCAAAAAGTGGTGGTTTGTTTGAACATTTAATTTGCTAAGAATTTTAATTGATTCAGAATTTCTAATTGTCTGCAATTATTTTTAATTTAACCTTCCTACTTTCCCGAAGTAAATGTTACATTCTTTGTCTATGGGTACGGGTGAACCCAGCGGATAAAACTCATAGCTGTTGTAAATTACATACCTTTTTTTTATTAATTCGTAGCTTTTGTAGTTTCATGTTATCGATGTTCAAAACTAAAAACATTTTTTGCAATAAAAAATATAATAAAACTTTATATTCAATTAAAATTAAATATTTATTCTTTCAAGGTTGTCAGTTGCTAAGAAAATTCTGTATGATGTATTATCGAAATTGATTATGAAAGAAACTGGTAATGTTGCATTGTTTTCTAAAGGAATAATATACGTTTGTCGGCGAAAACTGAGAATATGACTAAATTCTGGGTGAGACGTGTTAATTTTAAGAAAGTTTATAACGACATTTAGCTTTATTAGTTCTGTTTTAAAATAAAATGTGATATGGAGTAATTAATTTGCGGGCAGTGAGAATTTGATTGTTGACTTTAATTGAACCATAATTTTTTAAAAAGTTATCTACTAGTTCTTTTGAGGATAACTAAATGCATATTCTATTTTGCGAAATCCCTGAGTGAGTTTACAATACTGCCCAAGGCTATTAGTTAATCTTCCAATTTTTACGTCGTCAATGGAAGTAAACTTATCAGGGAATCTGGATGTTTGAATATTTGTTGTAATTGATGCATTTGAGTAAGAATTGTATTGGTTTGAATTACTAGGTATGGGAAGGTTCAGAGGAGGGTTAGGGACATGTTCCCCTGGATTTTTATTATCCATTATTTGAACGCCACATTAATAATTTATGTTGTTCTGTTCTGTTTACTGAAGAACTTGTTTTGATATTTCAACTTATAATGATGGGCGTTTTTCGATTGACAATAAATGCTTAAATATATGTAAACAAACTTTGTTCACTTACTCATTTTTGCAGATTCAAACGTTTATAGATGGAGATTGATTATCACACTGTTTTTATTCAATAAAAACTAATTACTAAATACTTAATGTGTTTTACTTCTTTAAAATCGATAGCTTTGGAACTCATATTAAATACATCTGTTCATCTTGCTGTCTCGATGCGAAGTCATAAGGTGCATTTGTGCCTTCAAAAAGATCGCAATGGTTTTGTAAATTTCCATAGAAAATAAATACTTACATATATTTTTGTTTAAATTTTAATGTGTTTTCATTTTTATTAATCAACTATATAATTATATTATACTTTTATAAATAGTATAATTTATTTTGTTGACTACCAATATCTACAATTTGTAGACAATATTTTTTTTATATACCTAAGGAAGCAAATTTTGACAAAACCATTCGAGGGTGTTAATAAAATCATATTTTACCAAGATATTAACCAAAAGTAACCAAAAGAAAGTATTTCTACGAATAGTCCACAACAGAATTTACAGAAAGCTGGATGATGAAATTAGTGATAGTCAGTTAGGCTTTAGAAACGGCACGGGAACCAGGGAAGCATTGTTCGGTATAAATGTGCTCATGCAAAGAAATCTGGATATGAACCAAGACATGTATACATGTTTTATTGATTTTGAAAAAGCATTTGACAAGGTACAGCACAATAAACTAATTAATATTTTAAAAATGAAAAACATCGATAGCCGCGACATCAGAGTAATCTCGAACCTCTACTGGAACCAGAAAGTCAAAATAAGAATTGAAAATCAAATGTCGGAAGAAATAGAAATTCTTCGGGGTGTGAGACAGGGCTGTGTATTGTCACCACTGCTGTTTAATATATATATATATATATATATATATATATATATATATATATATATAGCGAAGCCATTTTCCAAGAAGCTTTAGGAGAGTGTAACGATGGAATGATAATAAATGGTGAAATTATTAATAATATAAGATATGCCGATGATACTGTCATATTCACTTCAACTCTGCAAAGTCTAACAAACATACTGGAACGGCTGAATGAAAAGTGTACCATATATGGTATTAAAATGAACTTAAAGAAAACAAAATTCATGGTCATTACAAAACATCCAAAAGACAATGAGACACTCCATATTAATAATATCCAGATAGAAAGGGTAGATAAATACAAATATCTAGGAACATTGGTTAGTCAAAACGCAGAACAAACGCAAGAGATTAAAAGCCGTATAGAAATAGCAAGGGCAAAATTTGTAAAAATGAAACATCTATTGTGTAGTAGAGACCTAAGAATGGATCTAAGGATAAGGTTATTCCGCTGCTACATTTTTACAACTTTGCTCTACGGATCTGAGGCATGGACATTGAAACAACTGGAGATTAAGAAATTGGAAGCTTTTGAGCGTTGGTGTTATCGAAGGATGCTACGAATAGCATGGGTAGACAAAATTACCAATATTGAAGTCCTTGATAGGGTTAATAAGAGGGAAGAAATTGTACAGACAATTAAGAGGCGGAAACTTGAATATTTCAGTCATATATTAAGAGGTCCTCGTTATGGGCTACTACGTTTGATTATAGAGGGCAAAATAAAAGGTAAAAGAGATGTAGGAAGAAGACGAACCTCCTGGCTACGAAATCTAAGGGAATGGTTTAGTCTGAGCTCTAGCCAACTATTTAGAGCTGCTGTAAGTAAAATAAGAATTGCCATGTTGATATCCAACCTTCGTTAGAAGATGGAACCTTAAGAAGAAGATTAACCAAAAATTTTTTTTAACTGTGTAAACAAAAACTCGTGAGTGCAAGAGTTAATAGATTACAGTAAAAACAGATTATTTGTTTCTGTAATAAAAATGTGGCACGGAACTGAGAATAAATAAAACTCAATATATACTTAGAAACTTAAATATATTTATTGAAATGATGTTGTTTAACATGAAAAACAAACAAGCACATCTTATGTTTGTTGTATAGCACATAGAACTTGAAACGTACTGTAGATAAGTTCCACAAAATGATGTGCGTCCATTGACGGATTACTAAAAAAAAATATATACATATTATAAGAAATGTAAAAGTAGTCATTTTTTAATTCAAAAACGAAATTATTTCTAGTTTTTTCTGTCTTTTAATTATATAATTTAATTAAACATACAAACATCCATATTTTTTTAATTAACTCTACTCTTGTGAAAAAAAAAACAGTTTATTGAAAGTGTTACACATTTTAAAAACTAAACGCAACACCTATGTCTTGTTAGTGTCAATTTCCGGTCATACCAAAAACATTAAAAAATAAATTTATAAGTCCAAATAGTTTACTCGTCAGCTATAACTATTTGCTCAAATTTTTAAAATGATATCTACGTCCATACAATTATAAAGTCGCTGTTCGAAATTACAAGGAACATTTGAGCATTTGAGGGGTTACTTACTACACTGCATTCATGCACTATTCGTTATCTTAGTTCTTCCAATGAGGCTGAAATGGTCGGATAAATCTTGCTTTCTAAATAACCCCATATGACGGAGTCCAGGAGAGTTCGATCGGTGGCTTAATAAGGAGAGCAAGATAGCCGATTTAACTCTCCTGGACTTCTTAGCTAGTTAATTAATTTAAAAAATGAGATTTATAGCTAGAATTGAAGTTTCATTGGAAGAACCAAGAAAATGAATAGTAATTACTATTTTCGTTGGGAATAAGCCACAATATAAATTTAAAATAAGTTTTTTGACGTTTTAATTTCCACTTCGGAAATCGTTCTCAAAATACAAAACATTATATACAAAAACTTATATTGATATAGTGGCTTATTCCCACACGAAAATAGTAATCGCATTAATATGCCACAAAAAATAGCTTCGGAACAATAATAAAACGAATATTGCATAAATTTGGTCCAGTAACCATATGTGATAATGGTTCAAAATGTTCTTCGTAATTTCAAACGGATACTAGTGAATATTAGAATACAAAACACTGAAAGATACCCTTTATTTCAGTGAGGAAGCAAATAAAACTCGGGTGCTTTGTAAGTGTCTCTTTATTAAAAGTTTAAGCTTTCGTCTATGTTTCGACTTCATCATAGTTTAAACTACAATTGTAGCCTACTGAACTATAACAAACTTAACCAAATATTAGCACAAAACTCAACGTGATTTGGGTGATAAAAAATGCTAACTATAATCAAAGTATACATAACACATATTATTTTAAAATTCTTATTACAAAAGTTATTCAAAAACATAACCAAACAATTACTGACACAAACAAGTTGCTTTAAGAATGGAAGTAATAAGCAATCACAAAACGTGAACAATGTCAACTTCAATTTTTTGATTTAATATTAAAAATACCGGGATAATTAAAATATTGTGATAACATCAAACAAATGTTGATACATTCGATTTACATATATACAAACTACAATAACAGGTAAGTCAAATAAATACAAAATGTTCTTATGAAAAACATGGCATTTTTAAAAGAAAAGTGTAAATTGAACTTAAAATGTCAAGATCCTTTTTGTAATTGGTGGAATTTTTGGCATTATAGGCATAACACATGTCGAGGATTATGCGCTGAAATTCTGTATTGGATTGATTTAAGATACATTAATCATTATGCAGGACTCTATGGTGTTTATTATTAACATGGATGCTGAGACAAAAGCTGGTTCAAAAGCTCCATATTTCAACTTATAATGATGGGCGTTTTTCGATTGACAATAAATGCTTAAATATATGTAAACAAACTTTGTTCACTTACTCATTTTTGCAGATTCAAACGTTGATCTTAGATGGAGATTGATTATCACACTGTTTTGATTCAATAAAAACTAATTACTAAATACTTAATCATTATGCAGGACTCTATGGTGTTTTTTATTAACATGGATGCTGAGACAAAAGCTGGCTCTTTACAAAAATTTAAAAATTAGCAGACTTCAAAACAAACATGACTTCTCCATATTTCATAAACCTACCCATACTGACACGACTATACACAATTCATCATCCCATCCAACACAATTACATATATTAACAGAAATTCCGATGTAAAAATACAACTTTGAGACAGAATTAAATATAATTAAGCAAATAGCAGTAAACAACGGATACAACGAACAAACAATTAATAAAATGTTAAATCAAAAACTACACAAGAAAGCCCTGAAATTAGTATTTCCACCACCAGAGAAAAACCCAGTACCTTCTGCTCGATTACATATACAGGCAAAATAACAAGAAAAATTGCCAAACACATAAAAAAGAAAGGAATAACACCAGCTTTCCGAACAAATAACAACCTAGGGAAATATATTAAAAATAACAAGAGCCAAAATAAAAACACTTAAATAGTGGTGTGTACAAACTTCAATGTGGCGACTGCCCAAAAACTTACATCAGTCAAACTGGCAGAAACTTTGATAAACGAATAGCAGAACATAAAAGGGCTTTCAAGAATAGAAAAACAGATTCGACATACGCACTTCACCTTCTAGATCATAATCATCCTTTTAATGACAAATTTAAAATTCTTCACATTCAAAATAAAGGCCTTAAGCTATCTTTGTTAGAATCTATGGAAATCAACAAATTAAAAAACGCAGATATAATTCTGAATGATCAACTTGAGACAAATAGTTCTCCCCTTCTCAACCCATTTCATTAGAGACTATAAATTTGTAAACCCAAGCCGAAAATAGATCACTTGAGAAAGACAATCAGCCGAAACAGCTGTAGTCATCATCATCATCACTGGCTCGACAACCCTTTTTGGGTCTTGGCCTGTTCAAGGATTCTTCTCCATTCTGACCTGTTTCGTGCTTTTTTTTTTCCAGTTTTTAATTTTTAATGTTGTTATATCATTTTCTATTTGTTCTATGTATCTCAGCTTCGGTCTTCCTCTTGTTCTTTTTCCTACTGGCACTTGTTTGAATATTTTGTTTGGTATTTCGCCTTCTTCCATTCTTTCCACATGTCCAATCCAACGTAGCCTTCCTATTTTAATGAATGTTATGATATCCGGATCCTGGTATATGTTGTATAGTTCAAAGTTATACCTTCTCCGCCAAATCCCGTTTTCTTTTGTGCCCTTATATATGTGTCGCAAGATTTTTCTTTCAAAGGTGGCTTATAACGTTTCCTCCCTTTTAGAGAGTGTCTAGGTTTCTAAACCGTATGTACCGGTCTTATTAAGGTTTTGTATATTTGGCATTTTGTTTTTCTGGAGACGTTATCTGATCTTAGTTGCCTAATTAAGCCATGGTAACATTTATTGGCAATAAATATTCTCCTCTTCACTTCCTCTGCAACGTTGTTATCAGACGTAACTAGGGATCCTAAGTATGTAAAGTTTTTTACCGCCTCAATGTTGTATTCTCCTATTGTTAAATTTGGCAGCTGCCTTATTTGTGCGTTTTTATTTGCAGGCATATATTTTGTTTTTGTCTGATTGATTTTAAGACCACTATTTTTTGCAGCTCGTTCTATTTGAGTGAATGTCTCTATCATTTCTCTTCTTGATCTTGCGATTATGTCAACATCATCTGCAAATGCTAGTACTTGCACGCTTTTATTAATTATTGTTCCTCGGGTATTAACTGTTGTGTCTCTTATTATTTTTTCAAGTATGATGTTGAATAATATGCATGATAGAGCGTCTCCCTGGCGTAGTCCCTTCTTCACATCTATTGTTTCCGTTAATTCGTTTTGTATCCGGATTTTACTTTCTACTTTTAGTGTTTCTTTTATCAATTCTATTAGCTGTGTTGGTATATTAAATTCTTTCATTGCTTTTGTTAGGAATTCTCGGTTTCCCCCTCCTCAACCTATTTCATTAGAGACTATAAATTTGTAAACCCAAGCCGAAAATAGATCACTTGAGAAAGACAATCAGCCGAAACAGCTGTAGTGATAAGATTTAAAATAAATTTTGTGGAAGTTTGAAAACAAAGTTTTCAGTGTTTTGTTGTTACTTTACAAAAGTGATTATAAACTTAAACACAATCAACAAGTATCCATGTTAATAGTAAACTTACTTTACATACTTTATCGTGTCCGGAATGTCATTCATAAAATTTCGGCCCAGCATCGGGCTACGTGGGTTCCATCTTTTTTGGCGAGCGACAAATCTTCGAGGGTACATATAAAAGATTTAAATGGAATAGAAACAAACGTTAAAGATGACATCATAAGTATAATCCACCATTTCTACTCAGAATTATATAAAACAAAAAAGGAACCACCAGAAGAAATTAAAAACCAACTTAAGGTCAAAATAAAAAATGTCAACTCAGAGCTGCAGCCCGAAATAAGCAAATCAGAAATAAAGAAGGCATTGAAAGAAATGAAAAACAACAAATCGCCTGGAAAAGATGGAATAACTGCAGAGATGCTGAAATATGGTGGAAAAGTGGTAATTAATACTCTACATTCCCTTTTTAACAAGGTATTAAAAGAAAAAAGAATCCCAAACAACTGGAAGGAATCAGAAACCATTATCCTACACAAGAAAGGGGATAAAGCAGATATAAAATAGTACCGTCCTATAACACTCCTCAATATAATGTATACACTCCTAACAAAAATTTTAACCAATAGATTGACGACAAAATTCGATGGATACCAGTCGAAAGAACAAGCTGGTTTTAGAAAGGGATTCAGCACAAGTGACCATTTACTAAGTATGAAAATACTTATAGAACGAGCAAATGAATACCACATTCCTCTATATATGGCGTTCATAGATTTCAAAAAGGCTTTCGACAGTGTCGAACATTGGGCAGTGAAAAGTTCTTTGATTAACAGCCGAATTGACCACAGATATACGGAACTAATAACCAATATATATAAGGAAGCCAAAACAACAATTAAAGTATATGAAGGAACAAAATCATTACAAATAGGTAGAGGCGTGAGACAGGGTGATACAATATCACCGAAACTTTTCAATCAGGCTCTTGAAGATACTTTTAAAAGATTAGAATGAAAAAAAAAAGGTATAAAAATTTATGGACAACGCTTGAACCATCTAAGGTACGCTGATGACATCGTATTGATAACCGATAAAAAAGAAGAAATATTTGAAATGATGAAAGAACTGGACGTAGAAGCTGGAAAGATAGGCCTTAATATGAATTACAGCAAGACCAAAACTATAACAAATACAGATGAAGACATCACAATGAGAATCGGACAAGATGAAATAGAACAAGTTAAGGTTTATATATATCTTGGTCAAACTATAAAACTTAACAAAGAGAACCAAACAGCAGAGATCAAGAGACGAGTTAGACTGGCATGGGCTGTATTTGGCAAACTAAGCTACATTCTTAAAAACAAAAGATATCCACAGCATGTTAAGACCAAAGTATATAATCAATGTGTACTCCCTGTTCTTACTTATGGTTCCCACACGTGGACATCTACAAAAGCAAACATGGACAAAATCATAAAAACCCAAAGAGCAATGGAAAGACAAATGTTGCACATAAGACTAATGGATAAGAAGAGAAACGAGTGGATAAGAGAGAAAACAAAAGTGAGGGATGTTAGACAAGAAGTTGCAAAATTGAAATGGAGATTTGCCGGACACTATAAGACAAAAAGGAGACCGATGGAACAAAAGTCTTATAAGTTGGAGACCGTGGGAATATAAACGAAGCAGAGGAAGGCCCCAAATGAGATGGGCAGATGATATCAAGAAGCTTGTGGGCTCTAGATGGATGACTGTAGTGACAGACTCTTTCTTCTGCAATTTACCGAAATTATTTTATTTAATTTTTTTTAAATTGTAAATATGAAATTAACAACATTTTTATGATGCATGGAATTATTTTTGCGGTTTAATTATATATTTATATTGAATACTATTAATTGTTTGATAATACAAAACTGCTGACAACTAAATGTTGGAACATGTTGTGTTTTTCGTTATCTTAAATTTTATCAGCCTGATACAAAGAAGGCTTTGAAATCAAATATATTAGTAGGTAGTGCGTTGTCAACAATAATTGCCATCGCTCATTTGGGTATGAATAAACTGTCAGTTTTATTATGAGTAAATATAATAATGGAACCTGAAAACCCTACTGATTCTAAAGATTGAGAAATTATTAATTATTAGTACCATGAAGGGAAAACAATGCGTGAAATTTCCAGTGAATTGACTGTTGAACAACTACTACAGTATTTAATATAATTAATAAATATGGTGAAACTGACAGTATTGATGTTTGCAAAAAAAGCTTAGGCCATCCTAAAGTTGTTTCTTAAAGGAGTGCATTTAATTCGAATATGTAAGTTGGGAAGAAGAAATACACTACGAGAAGTAACCGTTAGAAGGAATAGAGAAACTGGAATGAATGTTTCCAGAGAATACTGTTGCAAATATATCCACAAAAGCAATCTTTTTTTATAATGTATGGTTGACAGGATCTTCTTTGCAATATAAATTTTCAGTTTTTTTTTTATTTATTCTAGTAGGCCAAAGAAAAACCACTGCTGACGAAAACTCAAAAAAGGATCGTTACATTTGGGCTAAATCAAAACTTTCGTGGACCAAACATAACTGGGACAAAGTTACCTATAGCGACGAAAGCAAATTTGATATCTATGTGGGAGATTATCGAAAGCGTGTGATTCGGCAAGTGTAATTTGAGAAGCATTCCATAAGGATTTTATCTAAAGAACCGTAAAGTTTCCACAGGGCATCATGGTGGGGTTGTATGTCGGCAAAAGAGTTGGGAACATTATATTTTATTGAGGCCATAGTAAACGCAGCTAAATATCAATATAGGTATCCTTGAAGTTTGGCCTCTACCAAGTGCGGCATAGTTATATCCATTCGGAGATTTTATCTTTCAGCAGGGCGGAGCCTCATGCTATACGGCTAAATCTACCGAATATGGTTGGAATAACATGACATTAAAGTTTTGTCACATCTTTCTAGCAGCCCAAATCTTAATCCAATAGAGGCACTTTGACACAAAAGAAACAACGCCTAAAAATAACCCTCACCGTACTTTACCACAACTACGTGCTAAATTACAAGAAATATGAGATAGTTTCACCCCTGAACTCTGTGAAGGCCTAGTTGGTACAATCCCTAACAGAGTTCAGGCTGTTTGCAATCTAAGGGCGACGTTACAAATTATTAATATTTATTTTAATATTGCTAAAATCCTCTTGTTCCAACATTTAGTTGTCAGCATTTTTTGCTCTTAAACAAGTAATTAAATAGTAATCAACAAAAAATACATAATTAAACTGAAAATAATTCCATATATCATAAAAAATGTTATTAATTTCATATTTAAAATTTAAAAAATCAGCATAAAAGAATTTCTATAAATTGGTATTTTATTAGCTAAATAACTGCTTGTTCCAACATATAGTTTTTAGGGCTCGTAAAAACATCCCAACACTGCCAAACAAATATTTTTGACATTTGCGGCTATATTCAGATTGTACCTTCGGTAAACTCAACCGTAAAATGTTTGACCCATGCACTTTTTTATTTTAACATTAAACCATAAAGATAAAATCTTTTTATTTTATTATTTTTTGTTTAATTTAACAAACAACTATAGTACCAAATACTTCAAACTGACCAAAAAGCAGCTTATTATCCACATAAACACTAACTTATACTGCAATCAAAAATATGAGGGTGCAAAACTGTTAGAAGGGTAAGGAGCCTATGTTAATATAACACTAAAAAAAGGATATAAAGAACAAAGGGGTAAAACTTTTTCAAACCTTTAGTTGACGAGATATATAAATCTATTTCTTTCCCTGTAAATCGAATAAAATTATATAGATATTTATAAATAAATAGTGCAGTATAAAATTACTTGACAAATATTCTATATTATTAGTCAATTTGAAATGGAGTAATTATTTTTGTAGAAATGGCAGTATGGTATTCCTCTGATTTTTTAAATATACTGTAACATTTTTTTATATAATTAAAATATTAATTATTTTTAATTCCTTTTACCCCCGTGATGATACGCCGATGATCATGTTTAGATTAGGAATTTTATTGGGAAACTTCCGAAACATGACGGAAGATCTACCTACTTATTTATTTAAAGACGCCGGTTTGGCTAATTCTTAGTTAATCCTTTTCCTGGTACTTTTTCATAAATTCGGTAAATATCATCAGTACATAGTTATCGTACAATAACCTAATTCAAAGGATTGTATGTTTCTCACGTCCAATTACTAGTACTGTAAATACTTCAAACTTTTCGATGTTCGTTGGAATCTTTTTACCTTCTCAGAACTACATACACTTGGCCTATTATTTTTGAGTGGGAGATTCCCTTCTTCTTTTTTTGTGAGTTTGGTAAATTGTGGCAAAGAAAGACTGACTTCTCGGTGGGCAGTTGTGGAGTAAAGGTTGATTTCTCGGAGACGCTTTGCTCACTTTTACGTATTTGTTATCTTACCGTCTGTGAATTATTTTTCTATACTATATTAAATTAAATATAGTTATAAAGTACCTTTAATGGCAATTAAATTCAGTGTTTAATACAAGTAAAGTATTAGCTTCAGTGAATTAGGCAGCAGTCATCAGGAATTACTGTAAGTTACCATAATCTTAGTATCTCCAATTATCTGGGCGAGTAATATGGTATGGTATCATATCATCTGCCATTATCTGGACGTATCTAAAGTTCTTCCATGACTTCACCTGTAGATTGCTGATTTTTGCATTCAAATTTAAAGAACATTTCAATAGATTCAAGAAATTTGTCTATAACTATGAAAGTAATAATTATGAACATTTAAGTCTCAGTTTCTCATTAAATAATAGTGCGAGATAGTTAATCCACTTAACCAAGCGCGGTTTGGTTAAATTCTTATGTTTACATTTCTGTAACCTTTTTGTATTTTTGTAAATTTAGAATTGATTAATTTTTGTTATCTTTTGTGTTGGTCATAACTTTTATTCATTTTTTTTTGCTGTAATATCTCGAGGTACGCCAAAACTTTATTTGTACATGATTGTATTATATATCTTTGTGAAGTATACCTTTGACCAGTAGAAAGATCAGGCTGATTAAGTTTCGTAGGTAAGTAATATATTTATTATTTGTTTATATAATGTATTGACCAAATTTATTTGATAATTAACTGTTGGTATTTTTCCTTGGGTTTGATCTTTGAACCTAAATATCTTTCCTTATCTCTTTTCTTTTCTAAGGTTTCTTAATTTTCTCCTTAACCCTAAAAAATTGAGTGGCGCCCTGTTTCTATCTTATCTTTGGTAATTTTACCCATCTATCTTTTTGTTTATTTCTGTATATTTTCTAATATCTCTTATCCTATCTTTACTTATTTCATACGTTGGACCCATTCTCGGTTTCAAAAGCTAGTTTCGAACTCACGACTCGCTCTCCACCAACCATCTGGTTGCCGTCCGCAGTGTCTCCATTTTTGACCTTTCTAGCACCATCCAAAAAAGGTTTCAGAGGTTACAATACTGCCAGCTGTATCTTTGTTCTAACATTTATTTCATATATTGATCTGTTCCTCAGAGTAGTTAATACTTATTCCGCATAATGTTGTAGAACATGGTTTTCTTAGTATCTGAATGAAATAAAAGCTGCTATTGCATCATCTGCAAGCCTTCAGTGCAGCTATCCAAGGAAATAAATATTTTGACTTTTTGGAAATTTCTGCTTGACATTGTAGAAATATTTCTCAGGATTATTAACAGTATGGTATTAGCACCAGTAACCCCTCTTCCTACCCCCTCTTGTGTTTTTGACCCATTAGTATAAAATGCGAGGGCATCTTTTGGGATTTTATGTGATTTCATTTTGTGTTGACTCTTTCTCTATACATTATTATTTAGTTTAAGTTAAAAATCTTGTTTCGCAGACATAAGTCTGTGGACATCCTCATGGATTACTTTGTTCCAAACCTTAAAATATACAATCTCATTGTTTCACCAAACCATCATCGATCAGACAAATAGAGCATTTTAGGTTTCAGAGCCCATGTTTTGTCACAAAATCTACTGCTTGTGCAAAGACCCCTTGTTGCATTAGTGGTGATGTTTGTGAGGTAAGCATTCCATGTCAATTTCCTATCCGAGATAACTCTGAGGTTATCTGAACTTAACATCTTCTGAGAATAATAGGGTTTTTCCATTCATGTTTGAAGATTGAATTGTTAATGTCCTCCTGTTTATATGAGAAATAAGTTATTTTATTAGCATTTACCAAAGTCTCTTCTTTCAAACACCAGCTAGTTACTATGCTTAAGACATGTAATCAGCAATAACGTCCTGTGTACCTATGACTACACTACATCATCTGCATAGTACAAAGCATAAAATTCTCGAGTATAAAATTCTCTTCTGTCCTTATTAAAAGATCATCAACCACTATAGTAGATTGTCCATCTTATTGATGAGTCTTATTACCAGAGGTAATAAGACCCCTCATTTAAGTAACCCCCTACTGCTTTTATAGTGGCAGACTGATGCCCTAGGTAGGTACTTAACTTATACTTGTAGTTTACGATTTGTACTAAATTTGTTCTTCACACTTCTATAGTCTTAAAACTTTCACCATAGGTTCCTTTTAGTGCTAGAAATTTATTGCACCTCGGTTAATAGAGGTTCCTTTTAGTGCTAGAACTTTATTACACGTCGGTTAATAGGTCTGGTTCTTCTGTTTGTATTTTTATTTATTTTCTTTTTTCTCAAAGGAAAAATGTATTCATGAAACTTAAATAGGTAGTATAGAAACTAACTTAGGTTAGTCTAAGAAAGAACCCTATTGAATTTGAAATAAATGCATCTGATCATATTCTTGTATTATGTTCAAGAATTCTATTTTGTCATTTGATATTCCACTGTATAGGATTAACATAAACTGCGAATGATTAAATTATTAATTAAAAGAAATAATTAACGTCACATTTTATGGTGATCTTAAATAAACTGAAGAAAGAACTAGGTGAATGATATGAATTGTATGTAGGGAACAGTAACACTAGGAATGGAGTTGGTATAATTGTTGATAGAGAAATGAAAGATAATGTAGTAATAATTCTAAGATCAAGTGATAGAATAACGACAGATAAATTTGTACTTGATAAAGAAGTGTCGAATGTTGTGTATGCATATGCCCTTCAAATTGGTCTGGGTAAGAATGAAAGAAAAGCTTTCTATGATCAATTATGAAACATACTAAATGATATTCTGCCTGATTTTATGCAGGCAGATCAACAACAGATAAAATTTTAATTATAACGGATCTCTTGAAAAATACAGGAACAAAGAAGTTCAATAGAAGCTGTGGTTGGCACTCGAATAAGAAAGGAGTTGCTAGTCAATATGTGAATATTGTGAAAGAAATGTATGAGGGATAAATATTGTATTGTATTGAAAATTACATTTTGTTTGTTTTGACATTTCGTTATTCATCATTTCAACATTTAATCCCATATAATATACTGTATAATACAATAAATATTTAACTTAAAAATGCCACAACAAAACACTTTCAGACCTTCTTTAAATAACCGGTATAGGTGTAGTGTTAAATGTATAAGGAAGGAACCACTAGTTTCAAGACAGGTGGGAGAACCTGATAAATTCCGTGTGAAAGTGTGATTGCACAAGACCTTGGCACTTCTAGTTCTTTAGTCTCATTAGTGTTGGATCAGCTAACAGGGAAACTACTTTTTAGGAAATATTACTAAAAGAGATTTTAAACAAAAACTGGAACAGTGTAAACAAGCTCTTGAGGAAAAAGGTTTAAAACTTAGTAGGGCAAAAATAGAGTATTTGGAAGGTTTATTTAAAGGCAGAGTTATTACCAATAAAATAATAGCTTTGGATTGTGAAAAGTAGTCTTATATAGGTACGTAGGATCGGTATTACAGAGCAATGGGGTAATAGATGGTCATTCATGCAGTAGAATTATGGTGGGGGGGATGAAGTGGAAGGAAGTGAGTAAGTGTGTTTTGCCACAGAAAGATTGCAATGAAACTGAAGGGAAAATTTTATAAACTTGCCATAATAGGTGGTTCCAGTATTACGTAACACATTTTGAGATATTGTAAAATGTTACGGTGCGTTACAGAGGCGGGAGAGAGGATTAGAACGCGTTACGCAACATTGTTTTTTACTTAAATAAAAAAACTATCGAATTCAAATTTCCCAGGTTGGCAATCCTTTTCATTTGTTTTACGGGGAATCATCCTTCGACTGCATTGTATGTTCTTTTTATTTTGTTATCGTTGTCAGTAATACACAGAAACAAATTTCAATGTTTTAAAGTAAATTCATACTGTAATTTTATAAAAAAAAAAACGCGAAAATTGATAACTACGATGTTTCGGCGGAATATATAAAGTCTGAAGATAGCTTAGAATTCAATCCAAGATGGCGAAAAGTGACATTGACTTACGACATCTCTTGGGGAATAGAAGAAATTATATGTGCCGAGTTTAACGACAACGCCGGCGTATCAATTTCGGATAAATTGAAGCCCTACACTCAAAATAATGGACTGCTAAATGCCTTCGTGATAAGCCTGACTGAAATAAATGACCTTGGTGAAAAAGTGTTTGAATTGTTTTGTGAACAAAACGCAGTTCTCACAAATTTTCCGCAATACCTCCAACAGTAATCAAAAGTCATCAAAATCGACAACACAAAGTATGCAATAAATGACGCGGATTTTACCGACGAGGATAAAGCTATATCTACGTTTGTAGCGAAAACCCCTTTGCCACGATGATCAAAAATCCAAATTGTTGAAATGTAC